TTGCCAGGTGCTCTGATCTAATCTTAAAGCAGTACTGCTTGCATTGTTTGCAGACATGCATAATGCACAAATATGAGAACCAAATTATGTCCGTCACATAGTGTGACATTTATTAATTTATTTTGGATTGAGTTAATTGCCTGTCCATGAATATGCTTTTGGTATTGGCATGTCTGCTGGATATCTGCTACATGTTTTCTGTGCTATAAGTTGATGTGTGATATTACAATGAGTATGAAGAATATTTAAAGAATATTTGCATGTCATTAACGCAAGCCTTTAGTGTCTTTTTACAACAGATTAAAAAAAACGCTGATCAGCCAACAAGAAAGGGGCCCCTGGGAAAGAAAAAGAAAAAATATATCATTTGCTTTTCAAAATCGTGGATCCACGTTTCAGTATTATTAGGGGAGTATTTAGAGTTAACGCTACTTTTAAAGTGCATTGCATTATTTAAGAAAAGAAAAATGTGTTATGTTATATGGTTATATAACAAGAAAAATTATGGATGTGTAGGATAGGTTTTTTCCAAGATTAAGATTCATCTAGTATGCCTCATTGATTATAGGAAAATGATGAAATGGTATTTTTAATAGAGATCAGATAATTTCTTTTGAGGCAATTCTAAACTACTGTATTATATTTGTATTGGTATATTGAAAGCATTTTGCAGACCCAGAAGAGAATAAATAATATAATAATAATAAAAGGAACCATACTATGGGAAGAGGTCACCCTATTAAATTGCTAAGGGGTTAAACTCATTTTGATAAGCATATAAAATTTAGTTTTTGTGGTTAGAATTTTTGATACTCAATTTGAACTCAATTGAAGTATTAAAACCATATCCTTGCAGGTATAGGAAACAGCTGCAATATGATTTTAATATTTGCAATATATTAGTGTTCTGACAATGGAAAAGTTCCTAACCGCATGTCTGTATTACACCTATGACACAGACTGTCAGTATTGCAAACCCTATGTGCTTTCACTGTTTATGTATACACCCCTAGACCGTGCTATACATGCACAATAAATCTTCAAAAGCCTATTAATATTATATCTGTGTGGTACACAAATAGGTGTACACAAAGAGGGGGTGTGAGTTAAGTCATCTCGACCTTCATATGGAATATGCTTCCTCCTTGTTCACTTTTGGTCAAACTGTTGGTCTGTGACTGGCCCTCTTTGACCCCAACTGAATTTCTTGGGAAGATTCATGAGAAAGATACAGCAGGTTGTTTTGGATATAAAGAAAAAGGGAAAAGTATGTTGTATCGGTCACAAAAGGATTGTGATCTTAAGCAGGCGAGACAAAGAAAGTTTGGAGGTGATAGATTGAATCAGAAAAGTTTTAGAGGCAGAGGTAGAGAATTTGATCAAAGGATTTAACTTTTGTAGAGATGGTAACTTCAGCACTGTTTTAATTATGGATAGCATGGATTCACCCAAAGGTGCTTGTGGTGAACCCGGTTCTCCTGGTCAACCTGGCCCAGCTGGCATTCAAGGACTCCCACCCTGGCAGGTTCCTCAATACCAACCACAACTTTCAAGCTATACCCACACCCAACAACCTCAGCCTAATACACAGATGGTTCATGTTTTTAATACTTTATATATAGTTTTGATAGATAAAACAGTATTAATGCTGGCTCTTAGAGGATGTACAAGCTGAAGTTGGGACCTAGACATTGTTTGCATAGGCTGTGCAATGTGAAATAACTAAAATAAAATAGGATAATAAGTATGCTTAGTCAATTTGTAAATAGAGGCATCTGCAATAAATTAAGTGGGTTTCCAAGACCTGACAAGTGAGAGCAACTTAATATAACATATGTCTACAGTTTGCTGTCCCTTCCTTATCAGAGGCCACTTGCAACACAGCAAGACAACTCTTCCTAAACTTGTATTAAACAAAGCACTTTAGAACAATAGTAATTTATTTTGTTTCTCCTATTTCATTCCTAGTTGTTCTGAAAAAAAATATATTGTTTAAGTGGGATAACTGTATGGAGGTTCCAACATGTATTAAAAAATTATCACACACATCGGGATCTATAAAAGGTTTCGGTTTCCAAAGATGTTATCAGGGTCCACAAAATTTTATTAAAGTAATTAATTGAGATTATCAAATCAAGGTTTAAGTTTAAGAACAGCATTTTATTGGGAATTATACCAATATGTATATGTTAGTGTTTTAGTACTCAACAAGCATTTATATAGAATGAGTGCTTCTCTCATCCATACAAGGCATTTTAAAGGGAAATTATGTATTAAAATTTTATAAAGGACATAAACAAAACTGAGAGACGTACATGTTACACTAGTTAAGAGTTTAACTTTAGTCTCTAATTTGAGTTTAGCCTAGATAATTAATTTATTGATGTCGTACTGATCCTTGTGTTTGTATGATTATAGAGACCGTACTGGAGTATTTGTGCTGCCTGATATTTGGCACTACACACCAATCTCTCTGGCTGACCTACCTTTTTTTGCAATTAAATCTGTTTGGTCAAAAACCATGCTGGCCGAAGAAACTGAGATGCTTACTTATGAGGACATAAACTAACTTGGAAAGTCCTGAAGATGCAGTGCTGTCTAATGCTGCTATTTCTGTATTACCCTTTCAACAATTGGGGTGTTGCACAGAGTATTGTGGTGAACATCCAGCAAACAGAAGAATTAAGAACTATGTGGAAGCTGACATTGTCTTGTTGTCAGCCATATTGCTACCCTTAGCTATGTTATGGTGTCTAAGATTATGGAACAAAGTTTATGGTGTCTAAGATTCTTTATACTCCTTGAAAGACTTATAATATTTTTCTGGACTATGCTGGACTATTGAACTATTTTGTTATTTTTATTTTTGTAGAGTTAGCCGGAGAGAGAGGAAGTGTTAGCTTACTCAGGCATGGATGTACTATGTGTGTCATTGATGTATGTTGAGTGTACCAAGGATGGATTCCAATGTATTAAGTGTGGATATGACTGGACTATCGAAATAGGGATTTGATTAGGAGGCATAGGACGCAAGGTCATGATTGGGATTATTGCTAGAATTGCAAACTGACTAGAAATGATCTTATGATTTAATATGTAAGTGGCCTTTCAAAATAATCAAGAAGTGTTTCCCAATCCCGATACCTGAGGTATTTACTTACATGGTGCAGGTTTTATAAGTCACTAATGCTGTCAACGTGAGGGGATGACATGTTTACACAGTCATGGCCCTCACTTAGAATTTACCCAGATGTGCTTTTTTTCTCAATTATGAGTTTTTGCCACTGGGATTTTTGACCTGGCCCAAGTTCACTGGGTGGACTGGTAATCCAAGACCCTGGTCCAAAGAGGGGAAATAGATTTTATTCCCATTTTTGATTACATGTGTTTACGTTGTGAATTATAATAATAATATTCCCGTTGTTGGGAATAATACACTTTGCCTGTTTTGATCCAAGGCTCAAGTTACAGATAACATGATGTGCAGTATGTTTAAAATTGGTTAAGATGTCAGCTGTTTGAAATATTTAACTTGTACACTTAAAAGATGTGTACAACAGATGATTACAGAAGCTGAAAATCGACAGCTCGATCTCCTCTTAAAGGGAAAACCTACGGCATAGAGCAAATGGGGGAAATCGAGGTGAAGAAATAAGGAAAGTCCCGCAGACGTGATTAGCACGTCTGAATATACCTCCTTTCGTTTCTCTGCCGCAGGCCTCCCATGGATATTCCATAAGGTAGATCACGATATGATCTAAAGAGAGGAATTGTAGGATATGAATATCCATTTTGCTCTATATCTTAACTGTTCATGTAAGGGTTAATTTGAATCAAGAATAAATTTGGAATTGTATCTCATGTCACAATGACTTATCTATTTACGGGAGATGTTATTGGAACATGATTTTGTTATTTACATGACATGACATGACATGATAAGGATTCTGGAATGACCTTGTTAATTGTCCAAGATTTCGGTATTTGTAATCATCTGGGTTTTATCCAATATGCATACATTATGTAACATCGAATTATAACTAAAAACAGATGTTTATAACTTGTGAAAAACAATGTCATTGTCACGCCCATATGCTCATTTTTCCCCCTTCCATCCTGCTATGAAAATGGGGTATAAATATAACTGACGTATGAATACAATTTGAATTGGTTATTGAACACGTCTCTGCTATTCATTTCCAATTTCCAGAGCTCTGTATGAGTTGGCAAATATCCATCATCCACAAAGGGCCCAGGCTGATTTTATCCCCAACAACTACACATCAGTACATTAAAGATTTGCGCAAGTACTTGCAGCATGCGTTTTCTTTTGCCCAAAAGAATCTAGAAAAAGCAGCGACAGGGGTTAAGAACTATTACGATTTAAAAACCACGAAAAAGGAATATGAGTTAACAGATCAAGTCTATCTGTATAACTTTTTGTGAAATCAAGTTTAGGAAAATAAATTCTTACCTTCTTGGAAAGGGCCATATGTCATGATTGACAAAATTTCCCCAGTAGCCTACAAGATAACAATTCCTAAGGATGGTGATTTTATTGAAAAGTGGGTTCACATTAACCAGTTGCATGCTTGTCATCCTAAATCTCAATTAAGGATTATAGCTGTGGATTCGGACGCAGAAGAGTGAACGACTAACCTGAATGAATGCTTGATTCATGTGGTATCGTATGATGTGCCATGATCTCATGTACGTTCATGTCATTAACCATTTCCTTGCCATTCAATAACTACATTTTCTATGCAGGTTACTTGCTTGTTTAGCTGCTGTAGGCGTATTTCTGATGAATCAGTAATAAATGTAGTGAGGGATGAAGTTATAAAAATACAACTAGACAGAATACATAACGTTGATGAATCGTAATAATGTGTTGGCCTAGGCCAAGTGATGTCACACTGTTATAAGTTTGTATGCTTAACAAACCTTGAATCATTAGTAGATAAGTCTGAGATGAGTTCCTGATCCGTGACTGTCGAAAGATGTCCAAGAAGGATGTGGCGTGTTTCTGGATTGTACTGCTCATGTGTCAAGAGCTACAGACCGAGCCGATCGCAGAGATGGGACCATCCTCCGGAATCCTGATTCAAGAGACACCAGGGTTATCTTGACAGAGAAGAGGATCCTGACCCGACGTGTGTTCGTCAGCTTGGACCCCAAGATTTCCATCGAGAAGGCATACAACATTTCATCGATGCAGCTTCCTGAGTTACAAACTTGGTACCAGATGCACCTCCAAAGAGCACAGGACCGTGTGCGAAACATCTTGGAGCAAGCCCGGAAACCTTTTGTATCCAGTACTATTTCGATGAGCAACCGACCCAAAAGGTTCCTCACCGCTATAATTGTTGCATTAGTTTGTGCCACTGTTGGTGCAGTCGTCGCAACCGGAATGTCTGCAGCCAACTCTATTACTGTCCAAAAACTGGATATGGAAATCTATGCGCTAAAGCAACATATTAACAATATTCATCAGGTGATAAAATAGCAAAGAACACTTCTCCAGGACGTGTTAACTATTGTGCAAGACACAGTTGTTAAAACAAATTTGCATTCAGAGTTAATTGCCAAGTCCACTGAGTTGCAACAAAGCCACGACTTATTTAAGTGTGAACTATTTTTGCATGACCCAGTATTGTTCCACACACTTGCTTTTCTTGACGAAGTGCAAACCGGAATGATCGAATTGACAAGGGGACGCATACCTCTGTGTTTTGTATCCAAGGATATTGTTCATGCAATGCTTGCCAATGTGGATGGAGAGACAATTGAACCTATGCAATTAAATCTGGCCTTTGAGATGGGGAGTGCTATACCTCTCTTAGAGGACCACTATAGTGCCAGGAAAACATACTCGTTTTCCTGGCACTATAGTGCCCTGAGCGTGCCCCCACCCTCAGGGTCCCCCTCCCGCCGGGCTCTAGGGGGAGGAAGGGGTTAAACTTACCTCTTTCTCCAGCGCCGGGCGGGGAGCTCTCCTCCTCACAATGCTCTCCTATGGACGCTGGCGTCTTCTCACTGTGAAAATCACAGTGAGAAGCGCCTCTAACGGCTGTCAACGAGACAGCCACTAGAGGCTGGATTAACCCTATTATAAACATAGCAGTTTCTATGAAACTGCTATGTTTATAGAAAAAAGGGTTAAACCTAGCTGGACCAGGCACCCAGACCACTTCATTAAGCTGAAGTGGTCTGGGTGCCTATAGTGGTCCTTTAATTGATCTGGAACGCATGTAGATTTGCTTTTTATTGGCCTCATATGTAACTCCCAAAAACATTTTTCAAATGAAAACAATTTACAATGTCGGTACATGGAAGGAAGATATCTACATTAAAGTCCAAACCCCAGATGTTTTGGCTTTTCAACCATGGGTACCAGATTGGTATTCAATTCAATTTTGAATGACTGAAAAATTCAAAGACAATAATTTCCAGTGTGATGAAAACCTTTCATGTACGATTCTACCAATGCCTTGTGTGGGATCGAGTACATTAAACATGGCAAGTGACTATGTCCAAAACCGGCAGTAATGCTTTGGTACATGCTATCTTAATAAAAGATAAATGGTTAGTTAGCACGTGTCTTAAAAACATGAGTGTTTTTCGCAGGGACCAGGTGACTAATAAAGTGATTGCCTTACCAGCACCTGTCTCACTGATCAAGGTACCCCATGACTCTCGTATCACCATCTGTGATGTTACGCTATACCCAGTGTACACTGACGTAATTGAAAGTGCTATTGAGATGGTGGATCCCTTCCAGAATCTAGATATTCCTCTAGATCATAATCTAAAGTTCTTACTAGACCATAAGTCCAACCACACTATCCTAATGTCAATCAAAAAAGATAACATTTCTGTGGACACATTTAAATACTCTGAGCTAGATACTGACCTTATTGCTCGTGTTGACTGGTTCATCCATGTTAAGATTGTTATTGGGTGTACTATGATAATATGGTTGATTGTACTAAGTGTAAAGTTCAAAGCTCTGACAGGTGCAAAAATGTTCATTACACGCACAAGCTAATGCCAGAAGTAGTGATGTGAGTGCACAATATGTCTTGTAACTTCTATAGTGCTTATTCATAGACTAAATTAATCATTGCTATGTTAATCACTAAGGTGGGTTATGTCAGGATATTTATATTGGCAGACATTTTTTGTTAAGATAGAAATAAAAAATTTATATTGCCAGAGTCACTCAGAACAAAGCGGACTCCATTTTGCTATCTTCAGGCAAGACAGACACAAAATTTCTTTCCTTACTTTCAGTAACACTAGCCATCAGCCTGAGTTAAGGAATGCATTATGTAAACCAGCCAAGTGATAAGCAATGAAGCAGGGGATGGAATGCTCTGTTTAAATGTTAATGGAATAGAAATAATTTTAAACACACAGACTACTGACAGAGAAAACTAAGTAATTCATTTTACTTTCTAAATCTTACAAGGTCCCATTGTATAAAAGGGGTGAAATTGAGTTTAGACATGTCAATTCTAGAAATTACGATCAAAGTCGTTGCCACAAAGACTGAGGCAAACGCTTTGAACTGAAATCAAATTTAGGTTATGGTAGTTATTTTAGATAAGCCAAATTACGTCAAAATCGTCACCAAAAATAGTTAACTCTTTCCTGGACACGGAATTTTGGTGATGAAAAGGCGCCATCTATTGACCAAAAACTAGATAATATTACATAACGTAGACACACCTTCAATGTCCTATTGGCCTTATCAACTAATGACGTACAGAGAGTCTGGCCCGTTGAAAAGTAAGGACAAAGGGAAGAGGGACATTCAGATGCAGATTCACATTCAGATTCGGACAGTCAGATTGGGACACTCGGACATGCATTCAAGGAGATGGAGGAGAGATGCAGGACACTCTGGGACTAACACTCAACTCAAACTCTCTTGGACTCAAGAAACACTCCTTGACACTTAGAATTTTACTATTACTTTCTAACCAATATCACTTTCTCTATCACATGCACACCTCCTTACAAACATTAACCACACTTCCATTCATTCCTGGGACTACCTACTCATCTGATGAGAACATCTACATAACTGGTAATTATGCTGGTTTTATTTAATTAATCTAAATTAATAAAACATTTTATTAATAGCAAGATACATTCCTGGATAAATCCGGTCAGATTTAGATAATTGAGAAATCTTAGTTTGTGGCGAAACCAACCTCACCAATGGGCATTGGAGAAGCCTGTTTGCCCGCCTCCTGACTATGGTCCCTAGGAGATTTGGCCCTTTAAATACAGTATTTGGGCATATTGTATTTTATTATGTTGCTGCTGGCCCTTTAAGAACCATCTGGGGACATATTGTGACTTTTGGGAACAATGCCCCTTTAAGACTATGGCCCTTGGAAGATATTGCCCGTTAAAGACTATTTTAGCAGATTGGATTTTAAAAGACTTGCTGTCCCTTTAAATTGTATTTGAGCAGTTTTGCAGCTTTAAATTGGCACTTCGGATGCAGCCGAAGTAGTCACCATTCGACAAATGAACATGTGGCGGTGGCCATCTTTGTTCATTCAAACGAGGTCAGCAGTATGTGTAGCCAAATCCATGGAACTGAAATTGGCTACACATTTCAACGAACACCGCTGACCCTTACCTTCTCCTACACTCAGTTTTCAGCTGCACAGACTAAGTCCCGTTCGGCAGTTTGAACTCACTGCTATACTAAGCTAAATTCACGAACGGCCCCATTCGTGCATTCGAATGGGACTTAGTCATTTTTCTTTGTAAAATAGACCGACCGCACAGCCCAAATCTATGTAACTGTTTTGGGCAGGAAAATGTGCTTGCGGTCGGTCATAAAGGACTCCCAGCTAACTTTTTATCTACTGGATGGATTTAACTGATTTTTGAGAGTGTTTATGTTTAAAGTGTGCTGATTCTGAATGTTTTTATGAAGATTGGACGTATATTTAAAGTTATAGCACATGTATAAAAACTGTATTTTTCCTGCTTGTGATAATTATGTTAACCCATTGTGTACCATAATTATATCACAGGCAGAGGGGAGGATTGTGTATAATTGCTGGGAGTGTTTTCTGTAATGTACGTGTGTTATTGGTTTTTCTGTAAAACCCTGTGGGCAGTACTAAGTTTGTGGATTGGGAATAAAAGAGGCTGTATGTGTCAGTACAGTCAGTTCTGCTTGACCTCAAAACGAAGTGTTGTCTTGTTATTGGGGGAATTGGATTGTATGCTGATTGCCAGGAGTGTAAGCGGATTGTATGCTTTCCCTATTCAGCTGCTTACAGCATTCATATGCTTGAGGGCATTCGCATGCTTCTTCAGTTCGGTGGTTGTGGTGTCTGCTGCAGTGCTTGGAGTCCTCAGGAAGCGCTAGGAGCATCCTTCAACGGAGGTACCCAGTCGGGGTGCCAGGTGATCCGTTACATAGTTAACTAAAGAATATATAGTTATAAACATTCCATTCTGCAGGTGGAATCAAGAATAATTATCTATATGGATGATATTATTATCACGTGTTAGCATACTGCTGTTTTTATCCAGATGTATTGATTTGCTCTGAAATAAGATAGTGTATCTTATGTAGAGAACTAAAATTCAGCTTTTTGTAAAATCTAGTAGTGTTCTTATTGGATGGTTCCAGGAAATGATTAATGAGCTGGTTTGAACGTTATTTTAATTAAAAATAGCAATAGAATATGATATTATATGCCTAGGAGGATCTAGCCAGCATTGAAAGAGTTAATCAGGATCTAACTGTGATCCAAGATTTTATGGCTTCTCGCTGTGCTGTGTGAAGTTTCTGTGTTCTGTGAGATTGCTTACCTATCGTAAATCTTACTAAGTCTTGACAGTTGATGCAGTCGCTTTGTACTGTGTTTAGCCATTGCATATGTTATACTAAATATTCACTGATTATTAGCACACGTTACATATTATTTTATTATATTGTCACAATAAATATTTTTATAAGAATTTGTGATTTATTGTATGGAATAAAATCCTCATAATGATCTTTTTCTAAGATCTAAGAGAATTAAATAGTGGGTAATTCTCGAGATTTCAATTTTGATATAATAAAAATTATTAAATTAATTTTTGATAACTTTTTATGAAAATATTTTAATATTTATCACCCCATAAATATCCCCACAAATGTATGCCATGATGGCCCACCCTCCTGACTTGTTATCCTGCAGAGAGATTGTAAATGGCAGCCCTGCCTCGTCTGAATGAATGCATCATTCTAGCAGCAGGAAAAGGGAAGACTACCGGTCTGAGTAATTAGTACAAGGGCAGGTCCTGCCTGGATTACCGGGACTGAGGCTCTTTAGAAAAACAAACTTAATACTACTAATCTGTATGCATGCATATTCTTCTTCACATAAAAATAACACAATTAGCCTCCTTTAAATGCAGATTTCTTCTTTTTTTTCTGAATATGAAGTCAGTTTTTACAGCGTCTGTCACGGAAGTTCAAAG